TACACACAGAGACCACAACCTAACGGCCAACAATGACATCAAACGCCTTGAGACTACCACCTCTCTCTCTCTCTCTCTCTCTCTCTCTCTCTCTCTCTCTCTCTCTCTCTCTCTCTCTCTGAGCTTTGAAATACTCAAGGAGTACCCTAAGTTACCCCAGTTAGATACAAGCACAAGCTCTCTGAATGTGGTCATAGATGACAGACACGCGCCGTGAATTACCTGCAATCTCTATTCTCTGCGGCTGCAGAAGTCGTGGGTTCAAATCCCGTTTCCTCGGGAGCTATGGCTGGCTGAGTGGCTGAAGGCAATCAATGGTCATACTACCTTCGATGGATCACAACACGTTGGCTGAGGACAAAGGAAAACCCGCGTCACAGCCTCACAGCGCATTGGCTGAGGAAGGAGGATGTGGAAAACGTGCCTCAAACACAATTTGCGTCAAGCTGTAAAATCATGTGGAATTGAGCGGAAAAAAAAAGAGCAAAAAAAAAAAGAAAACAAAAAATATAAAGCAAACCAATCTCGGAAAAAACTGAATGAGCCTGCACGGGGGAAAACAAATATATGGAAAAAAGAATGAGCATCTAACAGAACTTACAGAAGGGATCATTTCCCCTCTGCTTGGCAAGCGCAAAGCTGAAGTGGGACACGGGACACAGGACACGGGATGCGGCCCGACGCGGGACCAGAATCCCTATCAACTTGGTATGTACTATGTACCCTTTACAAATTATGGAGGTTGCAATTGAGAGATTGTGTGTGTATATATAGTCAAACAGAGCTTCCCGGTAAACCGTAGGCAGAGAGGGAGAAGAGGACAACAAGTGAGGGGCCTAGTACTTACCTATTCACGACCAGGTATTAATGTTTAAAGGTTCTAGGCTTCTAGCTTTCAAGTTTTACCTTTTCAGTTTTAACTTTTAACTTTTAAGGCTATTTTCACATCCTCTATGTGGCAGCTCAAAGGTTAAAATTGGGAACCAGTAGGTCGGAACTTAGTTCCGTTCCCTTCCGCAGTCCTGCACATTACCAGTACCGACGCTCGCCAACTGTCACTCCGACTTTCTTGATGATGACGCTCACAAATAGAAGGCACTCGATGCAAGAGGCCTTTGATTTTTTTTTTTTTCTGTCTGCATGGGCGATCACTGTCTCATGCTCTTCAGTTCACCATACCTGATCAACAAAAGAAAAGGTTGAGAAAAACACAACATCCCTGTTGCTTAGCATATGCACAAAACTGCAAGTACAAGTCTTACTCCAACTGCAAGATTTGGAACAAAAATGATTTCGGAATAACGACAAAATCATCGGTGTACCTTGCAGAACGTGGCCTTCGGCCGCCACCCGTTACTGAGCTTAGTCATTCAACGTTCTCCATTCCGTACACAGCAACGTCGGCCAGCAACGGGGATATAGGCTCACCAGAGTTATTGAGGGCGGTTGGCCAAAACCAGACGTGGTGTCTGCTTTCATCCAGGCCTTAATCTAAGTGGTGCATGCATACAAGTATTACACACACACACACACACACACACACACACATACGATCTTCTTGTTTTTTTTTTTGGTTTTGTTTTTTCATTAAAAACCTTCAGGCCCCTTCTATTCTGGGGGGTTGATAGTCTGGTTGCTTATCACTGGCAAGCATGTTGTACACCAATGTAAAGGAGAGAGAAGATAAGAAGAGGGGCCCAGCCCAGCCCTTGTGGCACTAGATGCCTAAACAAGGGGGGCCTGCTACAGAGTGCCGATCCCCCAAACTTGATCCCTCCGAGGGGGCTGTTCTACAGATCGGGAGGCTTACTAGCAGCACCCAGACACGCAGTAGAGCAGCCACCCGGGTAGCCCACACAATCATTTTTATGTATGTCCATTTTTTTTCTGAGTACTTTCTGACTGTCTAAGCGAGCACTTCTACTTAGTGCCAAACAGTCAGCGGTTCCTCGTTTGGAGTGCCTGGACCACTATTAGGGGGGGCGTTCCGTTTGCGATGTCTGTCATGCGTATGGTCTATGAGTGATGAAAGACATTTCGTCGAAGCGGCTTCCAGGCTCAGCAAGAAGTGCAGAACCAACAGTCTGAGGGATTCACTTTTGGTGTGAGTAGGTGATGTACTGCTTTGCTCCATGTTGGCTGTGTGGATTGTCTTGTCTGCACCACACCGCTGCCTTGCTGCCCATCCCACTTGCTTCGCATGTCATTCTTTGCAGCTGGTGTGTTGCCACGTAGTGCGGTTGCTTTGTTGGTGTTGCCTTGTGACTCGCTGCACTGTTTCCCCCTGCTGCCCATCTGCATGTCTTGTCTTTCCATGCCTATTGCTTGTGCATCGTGTGGTATGCTTGCCTTGTTGGTGTTGCCTTGTGCCCCGTGGTGCTGTGGCCTAGCTGCCCGTCTGCTTGTGCTGTCGTTCCATGCAGTTAATTTTGTCGCTGTGCAGTTGGGTTGCCTCCGCAGCATTGCCTGGTACTGCGCTGAGTCATTGCCTGATGCTATGTTCCACTCGCATTGTTGCCTGCCAGGCAGTGCCAGCAGGCTGCTTTCAACAAGGGTCAAAGGGTTCACGACCCAAAGCATCAATATGGGGATTCCACAGATTGTCTCGAGGGTTCACCCTCCTGATGAGTCGGTGCAAGTCCAACGAAACAATCTTTCATCACCAGATTGTCTCGAGGGTTCACCCTCCTGTGTCATTCTTGTCGGGATTGTCCTTGATAAGTTTGCGCACTTTATGCCTACCAGGCCGAATGCCATAAAGTGCTCAAGCGTATCAAGGACGGCAGTCTCCCATGCTCCTGCCGTCGAGGTGTTTTGAACGTCTATGGTTTCTTTGCAGCGTTTCTTCCGTATCGCCCATAATGACAATGGCTGCAGTCTTCGGAAGAGGGTTCTTTGTCACTTCTCTGTGAGCGCAGGCTCCGGGTGGCCTGTGAGGTGGACAATGGGGTCGTCTGTCAGTGGCATATTGTTAACTGTCGCCCAGAGTGCTTCTGTTGTGGCCCACACTTGCCTTGCCTTTTGGCAGTACAGCAGGCAGTGAGGTAGATCCTCCGGCAAACCGTGGACACAGATTACGCAGAGGTCATTGAAATCCCGCCTGTCTGCCGCTTTGCGCCGCCTGCTGAGCCACTTATTGACTGGGAGAGCATGATAGTAGATAAGCCATTGCATGCTTTGAATGCGTGTGTTTCTGATGGCTAGTGGGATCTGCCAGGGGAGCATCGTGTGTCTTTGCATGCTCCCAGGGAGGTGCTTTTACCATCTTTGTTTCAAAATCGCATCACAGTTGGCTGTCCTCCTCTTGAGTCTCTAACCCAGGCATGTGGTATAGTCCAGAATGCCTGTTCGTCACTCAGTTCGGGATTTCGTGCCCACTGTCTTCCATGCCCACTCCGCCGGATCGAATTCAAGATCCTGCAGTTCTATTGTGGGGCTATAGAATCAGTATAGATAATGTAGGAGTTGCCCTCCAACACTGGGATCTTACGGAGCATGGCTGGTCTAGCTACTTCTCTGGAGCGTACTGTCTTGTTTCTGTCTTGTTTACGGTGCTGATAGTCCGGCCCGGGTGGTCTATATCGTGCATGGTGCACAGTATCCATTCTCCTGACGGTCCTGCCGTGACGTACGACAGGGCGACTGTGGGCGTGGACTCCCAGGTCCATGTGGCCCAGTCTCCAAAGGCCCACGAGGATGGTGCTTGCAACAGCGGTAACCATTCTGTTGGTACGGAGTTCTGCAGGGCGACAAAGTTGGCCTGCAGATTGTGGCATCCCTTCAAGGGTTCTCTGCGTTCCGTCTATGTTTTCCATCCATTGTGTTGGTGGTTCCCGATGTGCTTTGACTTGTCATACGCCTCGCTCCAGCCAGGAAATCCATCTGCCATGTTGTGACGTCAGCGTCCACCGTTTGTCTGCTGAATCCTTCAACCATTGGTTGCAGAAGAGGTGCTGGCGTAACACCTCTTCCCTGTTCGTCGGCCTGTGGACTTTGGCTGGGAAACTCTCCCTCCAGATCTTGCGGCAGTACATCCAGTAATCCGAGCGAGGTGCCTGCTGACCGTCTAGCTGTTGTTCTTGCTGTTGAGGATTACCACACGTCGACCATGATTTGGCCATCACCCAAAACTGCCCTTGCATGTTGGCCATCGTCACTGCTTTTGGTAGCTGTTGTGTCCAATGCAGGCCCATAGAAGTCCATGGCAGACCTTGTTGGGTGAGTAATTTGAACACCCACTTAAATTGGAGGGCTTTGGTTTGCAGGACGGGGTCGAGGACTCCCAATCCACCCCTGCCCTTTGATTGTGTCACGTGTGCCCGTGCCGCTTTCGGTATGAAGCTTCGCCTTGTCGGGTTACCTGTCCAAAGAAAGGCTGTGGCTCTGCGTTTGAGGGTGCTGACTGTGGCTCTGCGTTTGAGGGTGCTGACTGTGGCTCTGCGTTTGAGGGTGCTAACCATATTTTGCTCCGGTGTCCAGATCGTGGCTGCGTACCAGAGCATGGAAAAAATGGAGGCATTGAGTATCAATGCCCTGGCGAAAACCGAGGTGTAAATGCTAGACCACACATCCATCTTGCTTAGCTTCCTTGTTAATATCTCCGGCGCCATCGCTTGGTCAGGTCCCGTCTCTGTCAGTTTTATGCCCAGGAAGCGCAGCTGTGTCTTGGGGTCTTGCCATCAGAATCCTAGAGGAGAGATGGCTGGCGGGGGCCGTCCGCCAGCCAGCAGCCGACGGTCTTCTGCCAATTAACTTTCATTTCGGAGGCCAATTGGAATGCCTGCATTGCACGTGTCAAGTCCTGAAATGAGAAGTCGGAGGCTCTAATGACCACCGTGAGGTCATATGCGAAAAGGAGGGTTGTCGGCAGGGAAACCTCGTGTCCCGGCGTGGCCGGCTCCGCCACCAGTCTGTCAGTGGAAGGGTCCTTGCACAAGAAGGATGCAATCGTTTCCATCATAAATAGGAAGAGTGGTGCTGCCAGGGGGTCGCCCTAGCGCACCGAGCGTGTCATTCTGTATAGCGGTGAGAGGTATCCATTGATCTGCACCTGTCTGTGGGCTTGGTTGTACAGCACCCGTACCCATCTACGGAAGTTCGGTCCCACCCGCATCTGCCCCATGCATTGCTGTTGGAAGAAACAATTGACTCAAAATGCCTTTTCAAAGTCAAAGAACAGGATGGCCGCATTCAATCTCTTGTCCGATATATAGCCTGTCGTTTCGGCCAGCGTCATGACATTGTCGAGGATAAACCTTCCGGGAATGAAGCCCGTCTGATCAATATGAAAGCTATGGCTGGTGATCTTGCTGAGCCTGTTGGCCAAGAGCTTGGCCAGCACTTTGTATATCACTTAGCAATGTTATAGGCCTATAGTACTGGATGTTCGCCGCGTCGGGGTCCCCTTTTTTGTAGAGTAACGTCACAACCCCAGTGCTGAGGTACTTGCCCAGGCTCTTCAACCGCTCCGCCGTGTCGAGGAGGGACATGTATTCGCTCTGAAATATTCGCCAGAAGATCTGCCAGAATTCCTTGGAGAGGCCATCTCTTCCCGGTGTTTTGTTTGGTTGCAAAGATTGCAGCGCGTCTCTGACCTCTGTCTGCATGAGGGGCTTGTCAAGTTTGTCACTTTGTTCTTGCGCGAGAGTTCTGTCGAGGTGGGCAAGGAACTTACGGGTTGCTTCCATTACCTCTGCCCGAGGCCTTTGATTGTCTGTTTTTTTTGTTTTTTTTTTGAAAAGCCCCTTTCGCAAGTCCACTATCCCGGCGGTGATAGCTTTGATTGTCTGTTGATGTATACAGGTTTTTGTAAAAGTCTGCCGCTATTGGCAGCATTTGGTTGGGGTCGGATGTCACTGAGTCTCAGCCTTTTTTTTTCCATATATACATCGTCACAAAGATATCAGAGCGCAAAAGCGAAAAAAATAAAAATAAAAATAAATCAATGAATTTTTTATTTTCTTACTTACAACTCCCCCTGTTCGAAACCTCTTGCATACAAGGCCGCCCACGTGGATGTAGGTTGAGCAGCGGCTGCCCCACTCCCGTGTGTCATATCGACCCACTTGCACACAGCCAAAAGGCAAAGAGGCAAAGAAAGAGGAAGGGAACAGCCAAATGGTGGTGGGTAATGCAGGGATGTCCACAAATGAAGCCAAGGAAATCCTGTATCACCTACTGGAGACGGATATCAGGGCCCAGTGGCAGAGGGTTAGAAAGCAAGCGGAAAAACAGCAGGAAACGAGCCCGGAAAAGGCCAAGGAAATAATCACCATATTTCTGAATAGGGTCCTTGCTTCGGGCCGAGTAGCGACTCTGGAGGGGCAGACACTCCGTTTCCAATGGTTCAGAGAGAATCAGTACGAAACTTCGCAGGACGTGGCGGGGCAGGAACTAGCGCTAGACCAACCCTAAAGACAAGCCTCTTAAGAGAGCGGGAGGAGAGAGGCACAGACCCAGGGCAGAAATGGTAAGGGCCATCAAGAACAACGAGCAAGGCTTAGGGTTTAGGGTTTAGTGGACCATCAGAGAAGGGATCCAAGAGCAAAGATTCTCGAGGGAGATAGAAACTCGTTCGGAAGGGGAAGGGGCTCACAATGGGAGGATAGCGGAAAGGGACAAAAAATGTCGGTAATCGAAGAAATAGGACATCATTTGTAGAGGATTATGGGAGGAAGGGTGGTCACTTATGCTACCTAATGGAGGGGTAGGGCTTAGGGTTTAGGGTTCAACAGATCACAAAGACGGGGGAATATGTCACACCAAGGAGAGCACTGCAAGCAAGGGTGGGAAGGGGGGGGGGACTGCATAGGCATCCAGCAACACGGGAAGATCTCTTCCTAGGCATAACAGTTACATCTGGCAGATCGGCGAATGTGGGTCTGAGAGGGAAGAGAGTCTCCTGGCAAGCTGACAGTCAATCCTCCACCCAATGTGGAGCAATCAATGCTGTTCAGGGATCCTCCGGCCGGACGGGAGGAAGCGTGAGTTGTTTTAGCAGAGTTGTATCATATTTTGACTTGCCGGTGGAATAGGAACCGGACTGAAGCTCCCCAGAATGGAAGGAGCCAGGACCATAAGGTCCTGTTTAAAAAAAAAAAAAAAAAAAAAAAAACAGGGGGGAACAAACATAAACAAATCCTAGATGACAAGTCCCACATGCAAGCACCGCCCCCTCCGTCACTTGCCAAACACCGGGACACATATATTTCTGTATATAGTATATACTATTATACTGTGTATATATTTCTGTATATAGTATAATACTATATACTATTATACTGTGTTTTTGTTTTTTGAAAAAAAAGGGCAACGCGTTGAGATATCATCACTGAAGCTGACCGGCCCCAGGTAATTCAGAATCGTTTTATTCTGGGCATCTGATTGTATCTGGATTCGAACTTGAGTCTGTATTTCAGGAGTTCGTGGGTGTGCCAGCTGAGCTAGGCTCGTCGGTATATCCGTATATTACGGTATATACCTTTTTTTTTTTTTTTCCCCAACACAAGGCCCCTTCTATTCTGGGGGGCAACAGTCTGGTTGCTGATCACCGGCAAGCATGTTTGTACATCCAATGAAGGGGGGAGATCATATCCGAGAAGGGGAACAGTCTAAGTTGTCCAACCCTTGTGGCACTAGTCGCCTAGCCAGGGGGGAGCTGCATATACCTATATATACAAATATTTATATATATATATATATATATATATTTTGTAAACCAGGCTCCTCCTATTCTGCGGAGCGTCAGTCCGGTTCCTCTCTTTTTGACGATATATATATTTTGTAAACCAGGCTCCTCCTATTCTGCGGAGCGTCAGTCCGGTTCCTCTCTTTTTTGTTTTTTAAACAAAAACAGAACCTTAAGGTTCCGGGTCCTTTTCCATTCTGAGAAGCATCAGTCTGCTTCCTACTCCTCCGGCAAGTCCAGAAGAATTACAATGAGTACTACTCACACACGCTCCTCCCTCTTATGGTGTCGAGGCCCGAAGAAGGACCGCATTGATTACTTTCTGAAGGAAGGATGAAGGAAGGATGTACCCCCCCTCACCCCTGCCTAAGTTAGCTTGTAGCACCTAATTTAGGCCCGAGCCTGGCCCGAGCCTGTAGGACCTAATTTAGGCCCGAGCCTGTAGCACCTAATTTAGGCCCGAGCCCGTAGCACCTAATTTAGGCCGCCCACCAGTCCGATTTCTTCCACGGAAGTTCCGCCCCTGTTTGCTAACTCTATCCTGTTCTTGCGTTGGTCTGGCTAGCTTTTCCTCTCCGCTGCTTGGCTGCCGGCATTGCTTCAAGTGCTAGAACTGCTATGCTGGGCCATTCCTGTCCTTCCTGCTAAAACCCTAAACCCTAGTATACAGTTTGTCTTGACTATCCAGGCTCTTCCTGAAGCATCTGATTGCCCTCGGAACAGCGTGAAGTGAACTCTCCTTGGGGGAACAGTGTCGGTTCGGTTCCTATTCCACCGGCAAGTCGACAATCTGAGTACAACCCTTCAGCACGCTTTCCCACGTTACGGCCCAGGGAACCCTCAGAACATTGATTGCTTCACTCAGGGAAGGATTGACTGTCAGTCAAAGCCCATGCTTAC